AACAAAAGTATTATAATTATATTAGTAAAATAAATAATTATATAAATAATAAATATATATATATATATATATATTTTATAATTATTTTTTTTTTTTATATTTTGATAATTAAAAAATATTATTTTTTATTATTTTAAAAAATTAATTTAATATTAAAAAATAATTTTTTATTTAAATTTCATCTATATATTTAAATAAAATATATTATTTTTTTATAATTTCTAAAAATTTCAATTTTTTAAATTTTAATTTATTTATTTAATAAATTTAATTTATAAACTAATATATATTTTTTAATTTTTATTAATATCAAATAAAATATAAAAATTTTATTATTTTTAATAATTAAATTATTTCATTAATACATTATTTTAAATATTTTTATTTTATTAATATAAGTAATTTTTATTATATAAAATAATTATAAAATATATTATTAATATTAATTTTATTATTACTAATTTTTTTTTATTTTTTATAATATTAATTTTTATTAATAATACGAAATATTTATTTCATATTTAGTATAAAAATTTTTGTATATATAATCATTAAATTTATTTTATATAAAATATATTATATTATAAAAACAAATATTCTTTATTTTTAATATAAATTAAAATTAAATTCATTGATAGAAATTAAAATTTTATTTATAAAAATATTAAAACATAGATGTATAATTTTTTAAAAAATATTATTATTAAATAATAAATAAAATATAATTTTTTTAATAATAATATAAATAAAAAATATTTAATTTCAGATATAATTTTAATAATTTTCTTTATAATTATTTAAAGATTAAAATATAATTTAAATTTATAATATTAAATATATATCATTTATAATTTAAATTTTTAATTTTAAAAATTTAAAAATTAATATAATTCTAAAAATAAATAATTTCAAATTAATAATTAAATATATTAAAATTATTATATTATTTAAAGAATTTTCGATATATCTTCTATGAAGGAATTTTTTTTTAAAAAAATTAAATCTATAATAAAAATATATTTATATAGAATTTAAAATTTTTATTCGTATATATTTTATATATTCAAAAAAGAGTTAAAAATTATTAAAAAAAAATACAATAAAAAAATATATATATATATATATATATTTATAACTAATTAATTAATTCATATATATATATTTATCTATTTTATAATATTATCATTTTATTTTAACTTTTTTTTTAAATTTATTTTTTATCTTTTACTTATTATTTTTAATTTTTTTTTATTTTCAGAATTTATGAAATTATTATTATTATGTTTATATACATTTTTGCTTTTTTATTTTTATAAATTTATATTTCATATTTTAAATTTAACAATTTATTTATATTTTTATTTATTATTAATTTTTATTATTCTATTATATATTTTAATTACCGGTTTTTTATAACTTTTTATTATTATTAACATTAATTTAGATTTGCAAAATTAAAGTACAGTAAATCACACTAGTTGATATTAACTTTATATTTATTTTTTAAGTAATTATATTTTTTTTATATATTTTTATATTTTATTAATTTATCGAACATATTCATTTTTATACTAAAATTTATTTTTTTGTAAAAATAATTATATTAATATTAACTTATCATTAGTTATAATTTTTTAGAAAAATCTTTAATTTAATTGTATTATTTATAAAAAAATCTTATTTTTATTTTATGATATTATTTTAAATTAATATCAATTATTTTTTCATATTTTCTCGATTTTTTTAAATTATTTATTTCTTATTTTTTACAATATTTTTTGAAATAATTTTATAATTGTTCGTTTATATTCATCTAATAAATATTTTCAAATCATGTTTTCTTTATTTTGGTTAATAATACTAAAACTAATAAAAAATAATAAATAATATTTATTTAAGCTAAAACTTTAATAGAAATAAAAGAATTTGTAAATATATTTAAAAAATGATTACTTTATTTTTAAATACAAATCTTTGAAAATTTTCTAATAATAATACAAATTCTCTATATTTTTAGATAAAGAATTCTTAAACTATATTACTAATTACTTTCTAGAATTCTATTTTACTATTCTATATTAAATTTCGAAATTAATTTAAAATATTCTCAATAATAAATTACTTTTAATAATTTTAATAATCAAAACAATCTATTATAAAATATATTTAAAAATATTTTTAAATAATAAGCAAAATATATATATTCTTTATAAAATATCTTCTTTAATATTTTATATTTAAGTTTATTAAATGTTTTTTTTATAATATTATTATTTCAATATTATATAAATAAATAATAAATACATAATAAGAATAAAATATGTTTTATTTGATATAAAGTGAAATATAGTAATAATATATCTATCTATTAATCTTTAAAAAATATTTTAATTTATTAAAAACAATCATATAAAATATATTTTATATAGTAAAATCAGATATTTATTTTTAATTATATATTAATAAATTTTAAATGCTATATTAATTTCTAAAGAAATATTATCAATTTTATTATTTATTTATAATAATTTCTAATTTTATTAAATTTATTATATATAATATTATATATTTAATAAATAATCATATATATATTTTTATTGCTTAGTCATTTATAATCAAAAATTCATTTTTTATTATACATTTTATAATATATTATATATTTTTTTAATTTAAAAAATATCTTTTGATAATTTATTTATATTAAAAAAAAATTAATTTAATCAAAAAAAAAAAAAAAAAAAAAAATTAATTAATTTTTTTTTTACAGAATTATAATTTTTTAATATAATTGAAAAAAAAAAAAATATATAATCTAATTAATTTTACAAGCTAAAAAATTAGTTTATATTAATAATTTATATAAATAAATAATATTATTAAGAAATATTAAACTTCTAAAATAATTAAAAAAATGATAACTTCTCCGTTTGTATATAATTATAATAAAAAATAAAGTATTATTTGTTCAGAACATATAAAATGTCGTATATGTAAAAAAATTTATAATAATCCAGATAATTTGCCTATAATACTTTAATAATGTGGCCACACATATTGTCTTTCTTGTATATTTAATAATCCTAAGTTTTTATAAAGAATATTTTTTTGTATTTAATGCAAAAAAGATATACCTTTATACTCATAAATAAATAAATACAATCTTAATTTCTTTATAATATAGTTATAATAAGAATTGTATTTTATAAAAAAATAAAAATATATTTCTTTAAAAAAATTATATATATATAAAATAATAGTTTTGATTCTAAATGCTAAACTATAGGTTGTATGAGATTATCTAATTAGTTTTTCCAATATTGTATTTTTTGTTAAGAAATAGCAAATCCTTAAAATCGATTTGATTGAGAGTATTAGATTTGAATGAGTATATAACAATGCAATTGTTATGTTTTATAATTGTTTTAGTAAATATAAGTATTTTTATAATTTTTATGTTTTCTTTATTTAATATTTGAGTTAAATAATTTCTTTTTATTTTAAAATTCTATCAAAATACATAAAACTAAAAAATTAATTTTTTTTAAAAAAAAAAATTAATTATAATATAGAAATATTATTAAAAATATATTATAAAAATTCAATTTATAACTTAATACTAAATATTAAAGAAATTATAAACATATTTATTTCTTTTTATTTTATTTTTAATAAATATTAATTTATTATTATTCTGAATATAAAAAAAAATAAAAATTTGTTTATTTAATGATTTAAAAAAAAATTTATACAATCATTTATATAAAAATTATAAATCTAAATTTTTATATTATATATACAAATAAAAATACTTAAAATATAAATATTTCTTTTTTATTTATGTAAATATAAACAAAATAATAATAATAAATATCTTTAAAAATTAATTATAAAAAAATATATATTTAAAAAATTTATAATATAATAATATAAATAAAATAAAAAATTTAGTTCAATTAATTTTAAAATTTTTTCTAAAATTAATAGTTATTTTTACATTCAGAATTAATTTTATTAAGGAATTCACAAACAATTATTAGATTTAGAATTATTTTCAAAATTAGATAAATTATTACATTAGATATTAGATTAAATATTATATTAAAGATTATTTTAAATATTATATTAGAGATTATTAGGTTAATTTCTATATTATAAATAAGTTTATATATTAGTTTAAAGATTAGGTTAAATATTATTTTAAAGATTAGGCTAAAAAAGATTATTGTAAAATGAAATATTTTAATATTGATATGGAGGCTATTAAATTAAAAATTACTAACCACCAAAGCAATTTAAAAAATTTAAATTTTATATTCTTTAATAGTTATTATAACCCTAAAAATTAAAATTCCCATAATTTTATAAATAATTTTTATTATCATTTATACTTATTTCTTACTATTATTATGAAACTGACTATTATTATGAAACTGAATATTATTATGAAACAGACTATTATTATTATGATAAAGGCTACTATTATTCATTTAAAACTTAAGGCAATTATTTTTGATTATTGAAATTATTTTCTTAACAATAAATTTCATGATTTTAATTATTATTATTATCAATAAATTCATTTTTATATTTAGATGTTTTTTCATTTAATTATTATATTTCTTTTTAATAATTTTATTAATCTGTTTCAATTTTAATTTAAGGTAAATCTTATTTTTTCTATTAAAGTTTCATAAAATTAAAATCATTTTAGCCATCTTAAATAAGATTAGGCTTTATTTTATAATAAAACCGATTTTTTATCATACTTTCTGTTCTTCCTTTAAAAATTTTCTACATATTTTTCCATTTATTACCATGCCCCAAATAATTCAAAAGTAATAACTCATCCTCCTATTCAGTCCATTTATTTGAATTTTAGCTTTTACAAAGTTTATTTATATACCTATTTCTCACTTGTTTACTGCTTCTTCCTTTGAAAATTTGGGAAATATACGACCAGTTATTTCCATATTTTTCGACCATTTAAATTAATTTTTAGTCCTATTCTAAAGTAAATGTAACTTTGCGATTAATTATTTTATTTTTTATTTTTTAATATCTTTATAAGCATTGCATGTATGATTTGTTTATTCCTTGTGATTAAGCTATTTTATTGAAATCACCTTTATGTTATTAATGTAATAAAATTAATAGATTATCTTCTTCTGGAGTCCAATAGCTATATTTGATACACTATTAGGTATAATCTATTTCTAAAACCTTAATATATTTATTATTTTATTAAGAATTGTATATAATTTTTGCTTTTTTATTTACATTTTGATTCATAATTACTTTTTTATGTTTCTATTTTTTTTTTATTTTATTATCTCATTTATTAAATTATTTCAAAATTATTTTTTGATGCACTTAAAAAATAGAAATAATATAGACATTAAAAAAAATTATGGTTATAAAATAAATATAGATATTTAAAACAATATAGATAAAAAATATTATAAAAATAAAATACATGGATTATTAATAATGCTTTTTAAAAAAATTAAAATAAATCGTATATAAATTTATAATATTTATTTCTAAGATTATTTTTATGAAAATTATTATAAATAAAATAAATTTATAATTTTTCTTTCATTTTATAAATATATACTTTTTTTATAAAAAATAAAAAATACCAAAGTCTAAAATTATAATTTAATTTTATCTATAATCCAATTTAAGAAATATTATTTGGTTTAAAAATATATTCATGAATTACTTATATATTATAACATTACATAGTTTCGATTAAGTATGAATTTTACCTTCTAATAATTTTTTTTTTAAATAAATGAATATATTTTATAATAAAATTATTTCATATAACATTAATATCAATAAATTTATATTAATAAAAATATATTCATTTTATTATTTTATATTTTTAAAAATTAAACACAATTTAAATTTATTTAAATAACTAGTATTAACAAAACTATTTTTTAAATTAATTTTATTTTTTAATAATATATAAAAACATTTGAGGTAATAAAAATTATTATAATAAAATTATAAATTATAAAAATTATAATTATATAATAGCAAAAATATAATTAAAATAAAAAAAAACAAATATATATATATATATAAATATTTATTTAGTTTTATAAAATATATATATATATATAATAATAGATATAAAATTAATAATTTAATATATTTATTAGATTATAAATTCTTAATATTTTTAATAATATATTTTTTGATATTTTAGTACTTTTTTAAAAATATATTTATAAAATAGATATTTTTAAAATTATGATCTTAGTTATAAATTATATATATAAATATATATTATTTATTAAATATTCATTATAATTAAATCTATTTAATTTCTTTTTATTTTTATTTTTAATAGAAATTCTTCAGAATAATTTATTATTATTATTTTTTTATACATATATAATGATTATCAAATTTAATATAAATGTAAAAATTATTTTTTATAAATTGTTCTAATTAGTTTTTTTATTTTATATTCATAAAATATTTAATTAATATAATATAGTAAAATATAAGAATAAAAAATATATGAATAAATATATCTATTAATTTAGAAAATATAATATTATTTAATAATATGCATTCATAAAATAAAACTAAAACTAAAAATTATCATAATCGTTGTTAATTATTTTATTTTAAAATATATATTCAATGATTTAATAATAAATTTTATTTATAATTATTATTTTTTAATTATATTTTTGAATTATAATTATTTTTGAATAATAATTATTCATTGTAAAAGTTTCAAATATGTAGAAATTATTATTATTTAAATAATTAATTTAAAATTTCTAATATTTATTTTTTATTGATATATTAAAATATTGAAATTATTGTAAATATTTAATAATCCTAAATATTTTTTAAATAATATTTGATTTCTTTTAAATCAACTAATATATTATATTTATTAAAAAAATAAAATTTATATATAGATAAAAACACTAATAGCTTTTCACAAGTTCTATATTTATGAATTTAAATATATAAATTTAATATTTTATATTAAATTACAAAAAATATATATTTATTCAGTTTTTTTTTATTTATTAAGCAAATTTAAGAAAATTAATTAAAAAAAAAAAAAAAATAAA